CAAGCTTAAGACACAACTGTTCAAGCTGGCCTACAATTTTTTCTAACATTTTAAATAGTTTTAACATTTTGATGTTTTTAATATTTTTCATATTTTATCGTTTAATTGTTTCAATATTTTCATAGAATATTTTGTAAGGTGCTTTAGAATATTTTTAAAATTTTAGCGCTCTAGAAATGTAAATTTTCATTACTATTATTATTGTCCAAGACACACGAAAGCAGTGTGGACCTATTTGTGTTGTAGAAGGCAAGATCAGGAAACATGACTTTCTACTCATGAATAGGCAATTGATTTGACTATTTTAAAAAAACTTTAAAACTTGTTTAATTGGTGACGAAAAAAGAAGGTACAATGTATGGCCTTACACCAATACAGAGAGCATTACTGTAGTGTGAGAGCAAATCTACTTGTATCTCCACTATTAAATGGCAACACATTCCTTACCCATTTTTAAGAATGTTGTATTCTTTCACAAAAGCGAGCTCTATAACTTCCCACTCCTTGACCTTAAAAATGAAACACTTGTATTCCCTATAGAAACACTTGACACCTCCGCTTCAAATTAACCATCCGGGAGGGTAAGGTTTGACCTTTACTCCATGGGCACGGACGACAGTCAATTGCACACGAGTTGAACCGGGCGGGAGGGGGGCATGTTGCAACAACACATAAGCTCTTGTGTTTTTTCATAAGAATTAGAATGTTTGTACACATAAATTTAAGACATATTAAATATAAGATGACTCGCCTCGTTTGGCTCACCAAGTGTCCGCATGTTCCCCAGGCTTCGCCTTCGGCCACAAACACTGTAAACTGAAGGAACTCACTCGATATCCCTTTTTCTTTGAGGTCTTTGTCCTCATGAGGTCGTCCTCGCTTCATTACGACCCCCCCATCGTCAGCTAAAACCCTAACAGCATCAAATCTTTACTTGAAAATGCTCCCCAAGTCAAGAGTCAACCAACGCAGTACAAGATTTCCAAGATCAGAGGATCGCGCAGTGATTTCAGTAAACATTCTACATGAACAACCCTCCGGCACTTTGGAAAGATGCAGATTTTTCCACCAAAAGTAGCCCATTCTCCGAGTTAGGAACTTCAACTTTTCTTTTGTAAAAAAATCAAGAGACTTAATAAAAGGATTCTACCTACATTATGATTGTTACGATGCTAACCTCATCACCACAAAACGCCTGTTCAACCCAACACCTTGTTGTAGATTTCGTCCAAGGGGCCATGCCGGTATGAAAAATTACCTCTCAGACCTTTTATTTTTCTTAGCAATAGAAATGGACCTTGCAAGAGATTCATATGTTTTTAGTAGTGCTTAAAGAGATATTACTAAATCATGTATTTACATATTTTTTAATTATAAGCAGGTTAAATTTACTTTTCTATTTCTTTTTTTATTGTCAAGTGCCATTGGGCTAAATGGAAATGGCGCTACATAAATTTTGTTGTTGTTGTTGTTGTTGTTGTTATTATTATTATTATTATCATCATCATCATCATAATGAGTTCAGTTATAAATAATGCTGATTAGCGGGCCTGTTCCCACACCGAACACGATTGTTCAACATTCCTTTCGGCTGACATTTCCCAAGCAAAGAATGGTGAGTTCCTCATGGTTGTTTATTTCACGCGCTTGAGATGTACTCATACTCTTTGTCTTTCCACATGACTACATTTGCACTTTTCTTATAGTATGAAAATTCTATCAATTGTAGTTTCCATCGTATTGTAATAATAGAAATACATCATTTGTAAAAAAGTTCAAGCCCTTTCCTGCGCTGACCGACAATACTAACTGACAGTTCCAAATCTCCAAACCTTACAAAAAAGCCTTATGAGCAAGTAGCATTTGGGACAGCAACAACCATTGCTAAGAGAAATCCTCAAAGAACCGATAACATCCTACAGAAAGAAGTGTTCACTCAGACATACTCGTGAGAGAAAAATTGTTACGACGGAGAGAAAACCGAATATACCATGGAGTTTCGTGTAAACATTTGTCGCTAATACAGAGAAAACTGGACGCACTACTGAATCATTTGGGCATGTCGACCTCAATTTACATGAGAGCATTAATTAAGCCCGTTTCTAAAGCAAAGAAATACTTTTTATGAGCTCGCCTATACCCGTTCCAACCCCTATCCCGCCTTCGAATCGGAGTATGTCCCGGTCTCGCCTTCCTATCTTCAACCCGTATCTCGCCGTTAAAGAATCTCGTATCCCACATCCCGCCTCGATTTTAAGCCTCATCCTGCATCCTGCCAAACCTATGTTGGACCCTCTCTACCGCTTTCATTAAGTATACGGGATTCACTGTTGGATTTAGTAGACTGAGCACGCAGGAAATCTGCGGAGAGCGCATTAAAGTTGTTAAATATGTTTTGATTACCTTTATAACTAAGATGCAGTCCTCCCTTGTTTAGGCCATTCTCTGTGATCTTTAGATGCTGGATAAGTTTCCATCCATTCTGACGACAATAGCTCTTTAGATGTTTATTGGCATCTTTCACTGCTCCATTGAATTCATCCCTTGTACCTTGTAGAAGCAAGCCTAAATATAGCGGAGAATGAATCTTCGATTTGTCTACGATCGATTCAGCATCTTGCAACAGTTTTTATATTTAAGGTTATTGGAGTCGACATAGAGAACGTCTTGGTCCGGCGAATGCTCCAGGTTAGCTTTGAAGTTGTTCTATGTAGCTTTTGAGGTGGCCCTACTGAATAACTTGACCACTGCTCGATGGCCAACGGCTTTTTCTAACTTTTTACAACATATATTTGTCTTTGTTGAGGAAGTTCCAATTGATAGGGTTGTACATCAGTGTTGTAGCCAAAAATGCTCGTCACAGACATGTCCAACTTCACTTCCAAAATGGCTAAACGAAACGAAGTTAAGTAATGAATATGTAACCGGTTGCAAGAAATGGATTACAAGTTATAGTTGTCACAATTCAAGGTAAAGAAATTAACAAACGAGAAAACAAAAATAAAAGAAAACAAAAGACACTTACAAACGTCGCACGAGGTCTGGGTAAACTGCCACGATGAAAAGCGACGTAAAGCAACGTAAAGCAGCGTAAAGCGATCGATAGAGACGGTATAAACAGTAATAGACGGTTCAAATAGTTCAACGGTTGATCCGAATGAATAAAATCCGCGGTGAAGACTAAGACAAGCGAATTAAACAAAAGGAAATTATACAGGAAAGAGTAACAGAATATTGATGAAAGTTATGCGCGCAGAACAAAAGGCCTGAATGAAATGTGACAAAAGAAGAGTACGAATTTGTAATCAGCCGAATTTTTCGCAGCAACAGTAATGGAATTTTCGGAGACCTTGGCAATGGACTGTGTCCCATCCTCATTGTTCCTTTGTTTTGGTGTTTTAAATCTTTTTCTTTTCCTTGCTAACAACTTGCCCTTGGTTGTGCATTTGTATTGTCAGAAGGTATTTTGACTCCTCCTCATTAATTGGATCCATTGCCAGAATTGACGGACAAAATGGCGGAGGCGGTGGTTTGTTGCTTGGAAACAGAGTATTTAAAAATGGCTGGAGCGTTACAATAACATGTATGGAACAATGAACTAAATTGAAAAATAAAAATACCTCGAGATGCTGCATATGTTTCCCTGACCTCTCATTATTTTTCTGAACATCCGACAAATTCGAAAATATAAATGGATAAATTAACCAGACTTCCTTGTAAGGTACAAATGCATATCAAATAGGATGTTTTTTGCTCCGCAGTTCACGCCAATGATTTTCGTATATTCATAGTCAATTATTAACAAATATGTCTGCAAATCGACCGATATTAGTGTGTGTGGAGTTCGAGAAACCACCGAGGTCCTGCGCAAAATTTCTTTACGACGGGCTTCCATTTTCTTTCTCCCAAAACAATCTTTGTAGCCTGGCTTATTCAGCTTTATAGATAGTCCATGTATGTCCATGTATGTATGCACAGAATGTATACCCATTGAAAAAATTGGAGGTTTGAATGAACCATCCATTAGACACGCGCTTTCTAATGCATCGAGGAACTGGGACTTGTTATAGAAAGCCTAGACTTACACACTTGTAAATTTGATTTCAGAAATGCAGATTTCCTTCACATAAGATATAAGAAACCCAAAATATATCACAAAAATGTCAGATGTAATTTCAAGGTACATGCAGAGAAGCTATGAATGGAAAATCTTTGTCACAGATCCACCTTTGTCATACATAAAATAGGCAGTAAATATACCATACCTATTACTAATATTACTAATATATTATTATAAGATTATATTGACTTCTCAATGCCATAGTTTCCAGATCATGGTTTAGAGTTAGTTGAGAGACAGGCTACCCTATCCAAGGCAGGCTAGAAAGAGAAGCAAAAGTTGTGGCAAGCAAATATAGGCAAACTAAAGGAAGAAAAAGAGAACAGCTTTAGTCAAAATATCTCACTTTAAGCATTCTACACAGTGAACTAGTGTCTATTGAGGGAGTGGAAAGGAACCTTCATCTCACAAGAGAGAAGCTTTCAGACTGGAAGAATAGAATAGAATTTGCTCAGAAAAGCAAAAGTTGACATATGAAATGAGGGATTTGTAAAGAAATAGAGAGGAAGAAAGGACTCTGCAAAATGAACAAAACCCAACTTATTTCTCTCCTTCTCTAACAACAGGGGAGGCATTGCTGCACAACCTCTATTTAGCTTGACTTTTATATCTCTTTGACTTGTATTCACTTGAAATTCTGCCACCTTTCAAAAGCAGAAAACCAGGGGAAATAAATATCAATCAAAATGGAAACTTAAAAGCACCTCAAAGCACATTCAGTTTCATATAAAAACATAATTTAATGTTATTGATGACAAGCATGTTGTACTGTCTTAAATACATCCAAATGTAAAAGCTGTTTATCCTTCTTTAAAAGTATCTCTATCAACCAAATATCAATGCCTTGTTGGTGTTACAAAAATTATTAATTAGCTAAAAGTTAAGTTGGTAGATATTCTTCACTGCATGCTTTAGTATTAATTATAAGAGATACCATCTCAAGGGGCTTTTTTGGTGCTCGAAGAAGTTTCCCTGCTTGCACAACGAAATGCTTTGGTGAGTTTCCAAGGTAAGCTTTAATCTTTAAAGGAAAATTATCAGCCTTTCCCTGGCCATTGTAGTGTGACCTTCAAGAATGTTCTAGAAGTAGCTGTGTCATGCTGAGTCATCCCTGAATCAATATATAAGTAGAATCTATTGTAATGTTATGGAACGTTCTAGATCCTCAACCGTACCTATAAAAGCCGAGCTTGTAACTAGATGTAGCGAGTAGTTTAGTTGCTGGTATAGCCAGCCAGATATCAATAAAGGTGTATGCTGCAGAATACAAGACGTCCACACTTCAGCCATGAGAGTCCAAATATATACCACCAATGATAGGGCAGAGACAACTTGTTAAAATCCTTTCAGCTGAGCATGGTGTATTGAGAGTCCCTTGATGATATTCCTTTGTAGTTAAAAAATATCGATAGACATCATGCTCTATGTTAACTATGTAAGTGTGCTGCACTTTGACAGCATTTTATTTTAAAGGTGACTTGACTGCCAGATAAAAGCTGATGAAGCTGAAAATAGATGCTGAAGCAATTTCACTTTCTGAGGGCTGTGGAGGCTTTTTATAAAGTCTAAAAGAGATTCAGAAAACAGATTTATTAGGACAAAAACAAATCGTTTAAAACAATCTTAACAAATGGGTTATAAATTTTTCAGCTTATGTTAATTATTCTTATAATAAAAACAAGGTATTTTAAATATTGGAAGTCAACTGAAAAGCCTCCCTTGTTCTAAAGGCACTATATTTACTTCAACTTTTTTAAGCTTTCTTTACATTTTGGCATGAACTGAAAAATTATGTTTTTGCGGTAATAATTCATCTCACTTGATAAGCTCTTTAGATAGATCGAGGGCAGGCTCCCAGGTACATGATGACATGGGCCATCCTTTACACTTGATAAGGTACTCTATCTCCTATGAGAAAATAAATAAGAAGTGAAACGGTCGGCTGAAGACAAGCCTTGGAACAGCAGCTTTTAAAGAGGCAGTAAATACTTACCTTGCCGCTTTTCCGCCCCGAAAGCAGTCTTTCAGTCAGAAACATTTTTATTTATCATAGGCTTTACAGACGACTTGTAGTAGGAGTAGTTTCTTCTTTCTTGTTCAGAAACTGTTTGATGTTATTATTTTAGAAAATCAGACTGAGTTTTTTTGTGAGTGGAAGCAATAGTCTCCACTATTGTTATGACGTTTCGTATCAATGTTGATTCGCATCAAAGGAAGCAAAGATTTATTGTAACAATTTCAATAGTTCGAATGCAGTAGTCTGTTCGCATCTAATTCTTGCGTATACTGTACGACTCGCTATGATAAATGCGGCAGAAATGGAGCGAAATGGCTGTTTTTCTTTACCTTTATTGAGGAGTGTTGTGTTGTGATTGAAAAGAACATCGACAAAAAGCTTGCAAATAGAATTAGTTACCAAATACGATATAAACGATGCTCAAAAGGAAAGTTTGGTAGGGGAGTTCAAACCTACGAAGGAGGGTCCATATCCGCCTGCGGATATGGACTGGGAGGGGGGGGTCCAAATCCGCGAGGGGTCCAAATACACTGTGACACCGGCGCAAAATGTCCGTGATTTTTGGTAATGACCTCAATTAGCTTTAGAAGTGTTTTAGCAGTTCCGTCAGTCGTGTTGGATGAGGCGGCCAATTTAGTCTTATTAGTCGAGGTAATCTGGTCAAATGGTTAATTTGGCGGGAGAGGCAAGATAATGGTCAGCTAACTGCTGTCATCAACAGTGACCCTTGTGCATGTTATTGAGAGGAGCCATCGTGAATCATGTTTTTTTTTTTCCAGTCTGGTTGGGTTGATTTGTGGTGGTCGCCCAGTGCATTGATATGCAGCTGATTCTGTTGGATGTGGTCACCATGTTGTGCATCAAGTCCTTCTTCTCTGGGAAAGTCAATATTTGGCCACACATTTGATAGGGTCTAACGCTAGAATCTTCTGACAACAAAACCGAGCTGAATTTCATTTATTTTGCAAGTGTTTATTTGAAAGTCTGATATTAATTTTTTTTTTCTTAGATTTATACTCACAACCTTCTTTCAATAAGTTTTCAAACCTTATGTGTTCTGAATTATTTCAGCACTTCATGGTTATCATTTAACATTATTTTCATATCTGTAGTTTTTTTTCTCTTGTTAGATTATTATTACCATTCAGCTTGGGGTTGTGCGGAAATTTTACCAAATTTTCTTTCACTGTGCTGAATTCATTCATTTTGCAAGTGTTTCTTTTAATGTCTGATTTTGTTTCTTTTTTCAGATTTATACTTACAACCTTTGAAAAGTAAGCATTCAACCTGTATCTGTTTTTAATTACTTCAGCATGTCATGGTTATCATTTTAGGATTATTTTCATGTCTATATTCTTTCCTTATGTAACATATAATGTAACCCTTTTAATCTTATTGAATTTAAATATTGAACTGTTTTAACATGTCCATTTCATTTCTTTTCAAACGTTTTTTGTCTGTTTGATCAAATTCTGCAACCCACAACTTTGTTTAACTAACTTAAAATAACATGAAATATACAAGTATAATTAACACCTGAACGAGGAAAGAATCTTTGAATAGCGCAGCTTGAGTTCTCAACGTAACAGTTGATAATAACCATTAATGAAGTACATAGTCCAACTCTTTAACAAAACCTAACACTCAATACATATTTGTGAGGTGCCTCAGTTCCAACAACAGCCTTGGCATCATTCGTCAGATAAGCCATCATGTCAAAATGTACTAGATTTGCTTCTCGCTTCGTTGCCTTTTTTGAAATGTTGTTGGAGTGGGATGAGAGCTCTCGGAAAGATCGATCAATATTACTGGAATTGTACTATTTTACTTTTATAATTGATGTGGAAGAATTTTGAAAAGGCTGATTAGAAAAAGATTTAAGTAGACAAAAGAAGTAGATAGAGTTTTTATTGAAACATACATGGTTTGAGGGTCTCAGTGGGGTGATGGTTTTTACGGCTATCGGCTACAGTAAACCTTTTTTATGACTAACGATTATAATTTGTCAACTTTTACGACCAACGGCTAAAATGTATGGTTGCTTTACGGCTACCGGTTAACACCATTAGACCCTCAGATTTGCATTTGTGGAGAAAAATTTATTTGCCGTGAACAGTTACGAACGCCAAAGTATTGTGCCCAGAGGAAAAGAAATATGGAAAAAGGGGGATTTGAAAACTAACAAAAATTAGGCCTGTATTTTTAGAAAGGAACTCACGATGGAGTCTTAGTCCAGAAAAAATGTTGCCCAAGCAAGAAACCTAAAGACGATTCCGTGGGATACGTTGGCAACTGAGCGTAGCATTGGAAGGGATTGTGCAGCAACAGTGCATTCAGTTCTGTTATTCTGTTGTGTGTCGTTGCCAAGTACTATTTCAAATTGTTCCAGTAAAGTTTAAACGTCATTATGTGTTATGTGAAGACCAAAGAGCGATGTTAATTTCAAAATAAACCTTACGCAAGGTAGGAAGTAAATCGGTAGAGTTTATGACATATTTCATGGTTAATCACACCAAAACGAACGCTTCCTTTGTATCGACATTACCTAAATCCATTTGTGATAAACTGGCGGCGAAAAAACGACGATCTCTCACCAAAATCGTGTATTTTTCGCGTCGAAACAACCTGGCGCAATCACAAAGATCCGATTACTGGCAACTAATATATTTCTTAGAGATACGGAAAAAGGCAAAAATTGCAGGCATTTCAAGAATTAGTGAAATCGCCGTTTTGCTTTAACCATGGAAAAATGAAAGCCGGCCAAATCCTATCGTAGGCCTGCCACAGAAAAGAACTACCACAAACCACTTGTCTGATGACGTTAGAGGTTAAGGTCGAACAGGACCCTATGGTATTCCATGTGGTTATTTTTGAAAATTCAATATGGCGGCGTGTGACGAACTCTGTGAAGAAATTGAAGACTTTAGTTTGGGAAAACAAAATTTCTTGTTTTAAGACTACAGACAGTTCTTCCAACATTAGACGGATAATTTTTGGCGTTAGAAAAAAAAAAGCTAATTAAAAGAGCACGAGAATTATTTCAAATATATGAAAATCATATCTGTGAACTGTGGGTGAAGATTTGAATATGGAAGCGATCTTCGTAGTTATGAACAATACCTAAGCAGTATGGGATATGAACCCATGACCTGTGCGATACCAGTGCAGCGCTTTACAAAATGAGCTAACAAGCCAAGTGGGAGCTGGTCATTATGTTGGTCTCAAATAAACTCATAAAGTGATAAATAACTAACTGTAAATATATGAGAATCAAATGTGAACTGCGGATAACAGATGAATATGGAAGTGATCTTCGCAGTTATGACCACTACCTAAGCAGTAGTGAAAATAAGGCCACCCTTTTTAATTGCTGATACGCAGCCAGTACTGATAAGGAGCTACTGAAACGGAGCTACTATTATAAAGCTATAAATCCTGATACAGATCTATGCACTTTTACGAAGGTGCTGATATGCAACTACTAATACACAGCTGCTGTTACGGAGCTAGTAATGAAGGATCTAGTAACGCAGGATCTACTGATAAGGAACTACTGATACAGACCTACTACCAGTTTCAGAGATATTTCGCTGATATTTGATCAGACTGACTAAGTTTATTATCAACCAGACTGTCGTAGTATCGCTTCCGATCTGCGGTCGCAGATTAGTTCTCAGGCCCCCTAGTATATATAAGCGGTATTCATAATATAATTAGATTTAGAAAACTTTTTGTCTCCAAAGAGAAACTTTCGGCTGTCAAGATACAAACTCAGGACCCTGAAGCAACAACCTGGTGAGTCAGCGGATTCATTTGTCAAGAAAATTCGAATTCTGGTCGAAGAATGTCGATTTACGAATCCTGATGAGCACATCATAGACGCTCTTATTTTTGGATCTAACTCCAAGCGTACACAAACCAAACTCCTGGACAAGGACACCACTCTCACGCTTGATACCGCTCTGGATATCGCCCGGACTGAAGAGGCAACAAATAATCAAATTAAGGAAATTTCACCTGGTACCTCAACTCACGTTGACGTGTTAAATTGCGGTCCTCCCATCAGGCCCCGCGGCCCATTTATTCGTTTGTGTGGATGTTGTGGCACCGAACACGACATTTCTGAGCGATCCGTTTTCCCTGCCTATGGCTCAAAATGTGGTGTTTGTGGAAAAGAGAACCACTGGAGGAAAGTCTGTCGTTCATTAAAGTCTGACAAAAAAGGGAAGACTAAGCATGTTCGTCCAAAGCCTCCTAAACCTCCAAAAGGGAAATCTGATAGGAAGAAGCATTTCCATAGCCTTGAGGCCCGTGCTTACAGGGAAGACAGCCCCCAAACATCAGTTCCGGATCAGCTATACTTCCATACCTTGTCAGTTAATCAGGTCACCAAGAATGACACGCAAGCCCACCTAAAGGTGGACGTGGTCTCGGATCACTCTAAGAAACCGCTCTTGTGTAAGGTTGATACTGGCGCTGAGGGAAACGTTATCTCTTTGAGTAAGAACAAATAACTCTTCCCAAATGCATCATGTAACCCTGGTGGCATTCCCACTAGCCTCACACCATCCAGCACCATCATCACTGCGTTTGGTGGACATACTGTTTGTCATCATGGCACATGTGTACTTAAACTGAATTATGGTGGCTCCTGTAAACCATGCCCATTCCATGTTGTTGATGCTGATGGCCCAACCATACTAGGCCTACCAACATGTAAATATTTGAACTCGGTAACTATGAATTTCAGTATCACGAACCATGAAGGGGCTTCCAGGCCAAGCACCACACCTCGACCTATCTGCGACCCAGATCCAGCTGCTGAAGAGCAGGTGCTCAAACAGTTTAAGGATTGCTTTGAAGGTGTTGGTTGCTTTCAGGGCGAATATCGCATTACAGTTGATCCTGCCGTTCCCCCAGCCGTGCACCCTCCACGAAGAGTTCCAGAGGCCCTCAGGGAGCCCTTGAAGAAGGAACTTGTTTCATTGGTTGAGCAAGGAATCTTGGCAAAAGTTACTGAG